TTATTATGTAGCAAAGCCATGATTTGCTGAAGGGATTATTTTTGGACCAAATAAAGAAAGAAGAGAGTATGTCTGTATCTTCAAGAGAGGAAGAAAAGCATCTCATTGAAAGATTGTTAAACTGGTTTTCTGACAATAAATCTGATGCTCCAACCCGTAAGGTAACTTGAGTGGTGGTTTTGGTGTGTCATTAAATGACCCTGCTTCTCACATTATTAGAATGGAGATGAAGACTGAAAGTACCTGTAATAACCAAACGATATTTGATGCCTTTCATAGGGCATTCTACTTTTTGTTGGTAGAAAGCCGTAATGTGACCACCATTGCAAACTAGTCTATTGCAGCTTTTAACAAAGTTTTGAGGTATAGCCTAAGAGCTACGTGAACCAACTCTTCTAACGCATTCTAAGGCAGCACTTCAAACCACTGCAGAACAAAGATAAAATTAAAAAACTGAACACAGTGTTTCCACACATTGTAGTCTTCATTATATAAGCTACAGCAAAAAGCAAGATTACAACCCTATCAGTTTTTCAGAAAATTTAAACATGGCTTTAACTATACAGTGTTTCATTCTTCCTTAGCTAGTGATAGGTAAGCAGCTAGGATAGGTGATGCAGCGAACACTCCAGTAACTGATAATAATGAAACAGTAGGTGTTTCTTCCACTGTTCCAAACTCAGAATTTATTCTTACTTACATATTTTGAGATACCTAGTCACTACTAAACTGGAATATAAAATGTGAAAATGTGTGTCCTGTTCTGCATTCTGATTACAAGTTAAGCCTTGTCTACATTATAATTCTTTTCTCATTTCAGACTTGGCAAAATTTGAGGCTTTCAGGCGCTTAATCGTGCTCAGTTTACCCACAGGAGTAATCCTGTTTAACTACTCACTTTCATAAAGTGAGATATTTTCAAGATTAAAGACCTGGTCATGTAAACAAAAATGAGCTGATTTTGTTAGGTGCTCTATGAAGTCTGAACTTGTGTGTTTTAAGCCAGAGGAAAGTCATGAGTCCCCAGCACCTGTGAAAACACATAAATAAAACCAAAAATAATAAAGGACTTTGATTTGGAGAGATCCAGGTGCTGGCTAAATAGAATATCATTTGTTTCTCTCTTTCTGAAGGTAACAGTTTTTGGCCCGTTCAGTCCTTATGAGGCGAAATGCTACAGTATGACTAGAGTATCCCAGTTCAGGTATGAGAAGACTTACTGTGAAGTATAGGCATGTTCTCACCTGTTATTTTCAATAAATAGCCAAAAAACCTCCTAGTTACTCTTACAGATTTTTACAGAATTTTTATTCATTGAAAAGACTGAAGTAATCAGGCCTGAATTGCACTAATATGCATACTATCACTATGTAAAATTTTACGAGTAGCATTATTAAAGGTGCTTTAATGTCTTGCAGAGAGAGGTTATTTATTAACCATTGTATACATCTGCTAAGTGGTATTCAGCCAGTAACTGCTATCCGTTGAGGCTGCATTGTGAATTTGAAATAATTCTTTTTCACATGTTTATGAGTTTGGGTTTTTTAATGTTGAAATTATTTCTTATTTCCTCACCAGAAGTGCTTTCATACAAAAGGAAAGCATAAACTCTGTTGTTGTCCGTGATGCTCCAGAAGATCCCTTTCAGCAATTGTTAGTGGCTGCATCTTTATCAGCAAATGCAACTGGTAATGCTTAATAAAAATGTTTGGACAGTTTCTCTAGAGTTTTGTTTTTATTTGAATAGCTCTATGAGGAAATATGTCACTGTAGTTCTACGTTACATCTTTTTGAGGTTTCATTTTCCTTAGATACTCCTTTAGATTGATCTGATTTTTTTTTTTTTGACAGGATCTACCGTGTTTTTAGAGGAAACATCTTTGATGCCTCCTATTCCTGGCCTGCTTGCACTCCTCAGTATGCTGTTTGCTCCTGCTATAGAACTCAGGTATTCACGTGTTTTAAAAAGTGGTGATTATTTTTTATTTTTTTTTTTAGGACCTTCTCAAACTGGTGACAGATTTGTTTTTTCTTGCTCTGCTTTCAGCATTTAGTATATTCTCTTCCTGTAATTCTTGTATCTTTTACCAGTTTTATTATAGCATGTAACTAAGATAACTTGTTTCATATACTTATAAATTGGTGCTGCAGGCTCTGCCCTCATGATACAGTTCCTGACAATCATGCTGGAAGCGTAGGAAGATGAACTGTAGAACTGGGCAAGTTTTAAATCTAAGTGAGGAGAGGAACTTGTGTGATTTTTGTAAAAGCTGAGTTCTGGTAGTTGCATTACTGTTGTCTTTTGTTTAAATTCTTGTACCTGTAGACTGTCATTTCAACATAGTAAAGCTCGCTTCCCTTAATTAAAGTTTCATTTTACATTTGTATGATTTTCTTTTTAAGTTTTATGAGTAAAGGTTTTCATAACTGGAATTTTAGTTCTGTTTCATCACTATATTTAAAAACAACAGCATGACTAGGTGTGAATGCCTATAAATTGTTCTAGCTTCTTTTAAACACCTGTATCTTGCTTGACATGGCGTAGAGAAATTCATTTAAGTCTGTCTTCATATGAGTTTAGTTTCTTCATCTCCAGGCAAGACTATGTTCTTTCTTTTTCGTATAGGGTTGATAAAAGTGGAAAGTACTTTACTGGTGTTCTGTGTGGTTTGGGTTGGAGTCAGACTTGTGGGGCTCCACTGCTTCCAGAAAATGACATGGAGCTGACATTTGATGTGCACTTTGGAGTAGGAGACATATCAGAGGTAAAACATGCATAAGAATTTTCAATATAGTAGGGATTAAGTAGAATTCAGTGCATTAGAGCTTGTTAACTCTTAGAGTTAATAAGGAAACTTGTTTTAAGCTGTGGTTTTGGGTTTGGTTTTTTTAGTGTACTACCTGTTTATAACTTGATTCTTGAAAACAGTTACTCCCTCCATACACTTTGAACAAAATAAAATACTGTAGAACAATACATTGTACACTTTTCAAAACAAAATCATCAATTTTGCACTAATCAGATGTCAATACTTGTTAGTTATGGTCATATTGTGTGTTTTATGATCAGCCTAGCATTACTGCTTTGCAATCTTCAGTTTGATTTCACAGCTCTAAGTCATCTGTATCAAGCTACTTCTCTCAGAGCAGATCAACCAACCAAACAATAAACCCCTGTGTATTCCTCATTACAACCTTTTTGCAGAGATCTGTCAGAGGGAAGTATGTACATATACTCTGTTATGCAGGACAGTAAGCTGTATTTGACCTGTGCTTTAGATGGTGAAGAGCCACCTCACATGCCGTGATTAGTTCTGTGTACAGAGCAGGTACATTAGGTGATGACCAGTGGTTTCTAGAGGCTTTTTAAGGACGCAGTGGACATGCTGGTGCATGTATCTGTGAGCTATAGTTTTCTGAAAGCACTGGCTTGGTGTGTGTGATGTCTGTATTCGTGACACCCTAGCCAGAATGGTAACTGCAAGGTGTAGTGCATGTGAAAATTATGGACATATAGAGAAAATCCTTAAAACTTTCACAGAAGGAATTCTGTGTTGGAAAAAAATCCAGGCAAGTGGTAGCCTGTATATTTTATGACATATCTGAATAACCTTGAAGATTGTGATATCAAGTGGCTGAACATTAACATCTTTGACCAGCAAAGAAGCATCTGGAGGAAGAAGTGTTTCTAAAGCTTGAGATGCTTTAGCTTATGTTAATAATATTCCAGTTGTAGTTTGGTGGTATGGGTGCCAGAACCACCTTCATGTCAGTATAATATAATATAGAACTACTGCTGGTTTAGAGTTCTTTATACTCTGTCACTGGTGTTTTTACAGATAAACATCCTAAGGACAGCCATTAATAAGCTGCTCTGTGAATGTGCGGTATATTCTGGACAAGAGAGAATGACACAGCTGCAGGAAAACATTCGTCAGAAACTTCTATGGTAATAATTTTGTAGAAATAAGACCTTCTGTTTCACAGTCTTGGCAAAAACAAAATAAATGATTGCTTGAAGCATGGCTCAGATTAGGCTTTGGGGAAATAATACATGTTCTCATTTAATGATGTATTTCATTTATTTATTAAGCAGTATACTCAACAACTTTAGACTTCTTGTGGAAGCGCTGGTTCTTCAGGGAAGCCTGATTGCTTAAGAGTCATAAAACCTAGACTGTGAAACCTGTTCTACAGGATACCAGTTCTGATGTATCTTTGCTTTGTGCACCCAGGACAGAGCTAAGGAAGTCGTATGGCATAACTGTGCAGAAGGATTTAGAATTCTTTCTCCCTATACATGAAATTTTAATTGTGTGTGCTGCCTTTCCTCCCTCAACAGAGCTGAGTAGGATAGGTGTTAGCCAAATTAAATGCTGGAAGTCTCAGGTCAATTTGTGAATTGAAGTAAGGCCACTTGCCTTTTTTTTTTTTTCCTTTTTCTTTTCAGCAGGCCTCCCTGCTTCTTGTAACTGAAGCAGTGGTTCTGAAGAGACTATTGTGAGTTGGCACAGCCAGTCTTGAGAATTTTTTCAGCTTGTGGTGTGTGGGAAGTGTTTGGGGGAGGTAGTTCAATGAAGTATCCCTGTAACAGCTCTTTCTAGTCTGCCACTGCTGAGCATGCTGTGAAAAATCCTCCCTTGTTTGTAATTATAGTGTGCATTTTAGTGCTGTCTGTATCATCAGGAGACTTCTCATCCTTACCTGGCTCTGTACTGAACAGATTTTTAAAAATTGCTCTAGCTCAACCATGAAGTAAATTATGTTATGCTTTCTAGTATTGGCCTCATCTCTAGGAAATGTGACCATTTTTGTGAATAGAGCTTTTGTAAAGTTAACTGTATGCCAAAGTGAGGCAGTTCCTCATGCTGATAAAGATCAGAAGCTTTTAAACTTAGCTGCTGCTACCCTACGTTATCAAAATGATTATCGGAGCAACTGTTTATGCTGAGTTTTCAGGTATTTCTTGGTTTTGAATGTACCTACTCAGCTGATTTTTTTTTTTTTTCTTCCCATCTGTGAAAAAACTATTACATTGCCTTTACTTGAAAGCAAGTACCCATACTTTTTATTTCCAAAACTTGAAAGAAAATTCAGTGTGGTGCATTTTATAATAAATTAACAACTGCGAGGGAGTCAGCCTTACCTTTTGAGGCACTAGAAATGAAATCAAAAAAGCGTAAACAATTGCCAGAAAATGTGGAGATACCTATTATATGTTAGCTGACCAGCAGACATGTTGGATATGACAAGGGAGCAAGGTGATTATTTTTGGTTTGGGCACTACACTGTGGGTGCTGCCAGTGGGTCAGCTGCTCTTCTGTCTGAGACGTGGCAGCTTCCAGCCAGCTGTTGCTGGGGGTTGTGTGTGCCTCCAGAACGTGGTGGTACAGCATCACAAAGGCTGCTGCTTGCGCCTTCAACTTAAGGAGCACTAGTGCAGGCTGACGGTAAGCTGTTCATGCTTCACGTCTGTAAAACTCTTGGTAAAATACCAGCTGTTGAGCGTACTGCTGATGCAATATTTAATTTCCTGTTTGGGTCCAAGTACCTCAGGCCAGTTGGTGTCTCCATTGCACCATTGGACATTCATTCAAAGCTGAATGAAGTTTGCTTGCGTGATTCATGTGGTAACAAGCATAGGGAGAAGTAAGGGAAGTGGATAGGCAGAAAGATGCAAAACCACAAAACCTTTTTGGAGACGACTGTGACAATAACAGAAGCTCATTCTTGAACATCAACGCTTGCTAAATTCAAGGCAGGAAAATGTCATTAGTGTTTCTTTAGATGTGTATACTTGCTACTGTTTCGCACCTTTTTGGGTTTGATCATTGAGATATCTCCAGCCAGTTGGGAGGGGAAGGAGCAGCCTGGACAGATCCTTGGTGCAGGTCCTCAGCGTTAATGTGTTCTCTAGTTCAGTCAGTGCTGACGGCCTGACTCGGTCATTCTCATCAACCTTCTGCGCTTTTTTTTCTTTAGGATTTTATACCTTTCTGTGGTAGTGTTTTCTCTCTTGGAATCTTTGTGCTTTTACTGATTCTGTTCCAACGATCCTACAGCTAATTTTTCCAACTTTTTTTTTAACCTTTTCGAAGGAAGAGACAATATGATTACTGTCATGATGTCTGCTTTTCCTTTGTGTAAAATTTTTCTTTGTTTTGAATATTTTTTCTGATTGTACTTTGGTTTATGTCTTGGAAAAAAACTAACCTTTTATTAATAAGAGTACATAGGTAAAAATTTAGCATGAACAGTCTTTTGTAACTTTTTTCCATTTTTTGAAAGCTAATTGTATTTACAATGTGTCACCACTACTTAAGATTAAAATCAGTGTTTGAAAAACACATCTAGACAGAATTAATTAAAGTCTACTACTGTTGTACTTTGTACAGCTTGAAGAAATAACTGGAGCAGACAGACAATCTATAGTAATTGAGTTGTCATGCAAAACAAAATACTCTAAAAATAGCTTTATTATACATTCTAGTGAATAAGCATGATAAAACTTAAGGAATAGGTGACAGCTGCAAATTCTATTACTTTGTAAATTAAAAAAAAATCCTTCTTTAAAAGAAAATACATTCTGATACACTTAACATCCCTGTGAAAAATTGTATTTTGACTTCTTACATTAGAGGGGCAAAGTATGGAGAAGTAAACAAATCAGACTAGATTAACAGGGAAATTTAAGATTCCCTTCAGCACAGACACCTCGTAAATGCTGGGTTGTATCTAATATAACAGTTCTTTTGTCTTTATAATTAATCAAATACAAGTGTATTTCTTAAGGCTATTTTTATGTAATTTCAGTTTAATCTGTAAATCAAAACCTCGAGATATAATTGTTCCTACATGGTATGAGAAGCCATATGCATGGAATCAGGTAAGGGTATAAAGATAATTCCCACCCCTTCCCCACCCCCTTAAGAAGACTAGTTAGAGTACCCCAGAACAGTTTTAAGAATGGTCAAAAGCAGAATTTCCTTTAAGTTTCTATTTCCATATTTCAAATTCAGCTGTCCTTGATATTATGAAGATAATCTCCTATTCAGTTCAGATTTTATAACAAGTTAACGTATAGGCCTTGGATCAGGATTTTCGCATCTGAAGTCTGAAGAATCTCAGGACATCTTGCATTGTCACATAAAATACTAGCTGTAATGCTTTGGAATTGCTTATGGAATAGTATTCTGACTCGGGCAAAGCATGAGAGAGAGCATTTTATAGTCCTAGCTCTTACATTGAAATGTGTGGTTGGAACTGAAATTCCTGTATGATTTGAAACTATCAAAACTCTTCAAGACTCTTTTCCTTAACTATGTTGTATAGTTAAACATTATTAAGAATGTGTTCTGACTTTCATCTTGCTTCTTTTGATTAGGTGGAATCTCAACTTATCATTGACCAGTCTGAAAAGCAGCATGAAAGAGGAAATGATCTTTATCAGCTACATAAGCTTGTTGTGTTGAATGTTTAAGTATTTTTAGAAGTCTTTCAGAGGCTGAGGTATTATAAGTAGTTTAAAAATTACTTCTGTCTTCTATATGACCCTTGGATGCTTATTTTGCAAGACTGTTCCTTAATCTTAGTGTAAGTGTACTAAAATACTGTTTGGAATATGTTAATTTTTTTTTTAAAAGCAAAGGTTTGCTGACCTAGAGCAGATGAGTTTATTCATAAAACAAACTTATATAAAGCAGGTTGCAATTTTTACTTTAATACTTCTGAGCAAGTTTATCACAAGGTACATGAAAGACAAAGCAAATCTAGGTTTAGTTGTTCATTTTCTGTCTAAAAGCCCACAAGCCATGGGGTATGATTTTTTTTTTTTCCTTTACCTGCAAATTGCGTTTTCCTGTTTTCTTTGTCATTAGTTTTTCAAAAAGCCCTACAACAAAGGTGTTTGGGTTTGTCTTAACCAAAAACTAGAAGTCAAAGGAAACTCATGATCTAGATTATATTCTGATCCAAACTGTAACTTTATGTACTGGATACAATTTTTTCATTAATTTTTCATACAGCAAAATGTAATACATATTTCTTTTCCTGTATGGCAGAAGAATGCTTTTTGAATTATTGATTCATGGCACCTTTGTTTCATCCTCTTATTTTTACCTGTGAGATCCTTAGTCCTAAAAATGAGGTCAGTGGTTTCAGAATAAAATGCAGAAGTGAAACAAAATGTATTTGTCTCTTCTGTTGTGCAGTCATGCTTAATAAAAGCTAAATTTAGTTATTAATGGTATGTGATTTCATTCAGGAAATACATGAATACAAAACCAGCATATGGAAAAGTATTAATCTTTTCACTGTTCACTCAGTGATTTGAAGATTATGTAGTATCCAGTCATCCTCTGAAGAACAGACTCACTCAGTGGTCACCGTAAAAAAAGTTGTAGATTTGGGGAAAGTAAGGGGATGCTTAAACTAAGGAATTATTTTCAGCTGTATTTAAACAGAGGGGTAACTATATAATAGGCAATTTCAGTGGCTTACTATAAGCATTACTTCCTTAGACCCATTTTACTAATCCTTGTGAATTATGAAACATCATACTATATATAATGAGATAGGTTTAATAGAAAAATTGTATCTCAAGTGGCTTAGACAACAGCATTTCTCAGCTGAGTGTTGTATGCAAATTAAGTGTTGCAGTTGAACACCTTTGGGTGCAAAGGAAACAGTCAATGTCAAGTCTTTGCTTTGCCTATTAATGGTGGGAATTTCTATAGGAAAAGGTAACTTGGTAATCCCAAAAGACATGATATAAATAACATAACTTATCGTGATTCCTCATAAGCAACACTGAAATTGAGAGGTGAGAGGAACAGAATATATTTTACATATTTTTTTTTATTTTTTTAAATTCTGTCGCTAATGTGTCCTGCCCTGTTCGTGTGCGTGCGGTGCCACCTGGTGGAGCGTTCCTGATGTGCTCCTTGTGGCCCTTTGAAGGTCTGCTGCCTGTCGTAAGGCTTTTCGTGAAGACAAGGTACTCTGTAATGGCTCATGTCGTAATAAAACTGAAAGGTTTCTACTCTTGTCCTTATGATGAGAGGAGCAGATAATGCTAACTCCTCCACAGTCCAATAACCCATAACCTGCCATGGGTCAACTGAGAAATGAGAACTGTGTATTAACTCTTAAGAGCTCCCCATCTTGTCCTGGGTACATAATAAGCTTGCAGACGTGATACACAACAGCTAATCCTTGAAGGAAATGGAACATCTAACAAGGTAGCCTTGCTGGGGAATGTTATTTATTGCTAGATGAAAATGTAGTACTAAAATTTAAGAAGCAGCAGTCATATTTTATTGTTAGCAATGCTGTTGAAACCTAAATCAAAGATACTTGAACAAGTTTAAGGTAAACAGCTTCAGGATTTCTCCCTTTGAGGTTAATAGTATGTAGCACTGGAGGCAGAAGGGTTGTAAAACAGTGGTGTGTTTCTATGGCTATAGACCTGATCCTGGTCAACCTTATGCCTTTCATGGGTTACTTCCATAAGAAAAAGGCCGTGACTGCTCGTCAAGATTCCTTTTATCTCCAGGTGGTCACCAACATCTAGCAGAATAAGATTTCACTTACCATAATTTACTAGTGATCATCCACATTTACATATTTCTTCCATTGCTGATTCAAAGGTAGAAATATTTGAATCTAAAATGGTCAGATTAATCCTCTTGAATGCCCCCAATAGTAATGATGACATGACAAATTGTAATGACAGGTGCTTCTCTAGTCTGAAAACATGTGCATTTGCTATTATTCATAATTCCCCCACAGGTACAATGAAATTGGGTAGTTTTAAATCAAAAGGATTTTTTTTACCATTGCACGTAATTAATTTTGGAATTTACTGCCACAGATCCTTCAATAGCTGTTAAAATTGAGGAACTCAAACTCCTTACTTTACCGAATTCCAGAATCTGAGAAAATATACTGAAAGAGTGCCTATTTTTATCTTTTTCCAAGCATTTCCCTTTGGCAGATATAAGAGTGGAGAATATTGTTTACATATCATTTTAAAGATGCTGTAACAGGTCAGACTAATAATTCCATCTGTGATTGAAACATTCTGGAATCGGCAATAGTGGAATTGCATAGCGTGGATGATCACTGATAGAATGAGATGTCATTTAACTAAGTCTACACTGAAGAGAGTTGTTCAGGATATGTAGTCTCTGATTCTTTCTTACTATCGTCTTCTGTGGCCTCACAACTCTGCTTATATAGGATCCTGCAGTTGAAAGGAAGTGGAGGTACAGCTGGTGTTATCTGCCCTCAGGTCTTCTGTAGGAGGTGTAGGACTTCCAGGATGCAGGGGTACCATGCAAATACAGATAAGCCTGGTCAAAAGGATTCCAACTAGAGCTTAAGGTGTGTGCACCTCAGTAGCTGGATGTGATTGTGGAAAAATACATCCTAAAAATCCCTCTTGTTGTTAAGTGATCAATGACTTCTCATTTCTTCTGTAAAGTAGTATCTGAAAAGAACTTCAATTATTTATGAATAATTTGAGCTGATTACAGATTTAGTAAATAGCCCAGATACTCTTTTGGTTTACACTAAAATCTTGCATTTTTCCTAGATTACTACTTATACTGGTTACATCTGGATTAGAACAAATAAATTAGACTCACAGAAGACTTTTGCCTGCCAGCCTATTCTTTTAGTCTTCAGATCATTAAATAATAATAATAATGAAAAAGGATAGTGATAAAAAATGATACTGTGTATGTGAAATGCAGTACCTTTTGGAACTACACTTCAAGAGATGCACTATATGAAACCTGTGACTCTGGAGGCAATTTGATAACCCTAAAGCGGAGTCATAAATATGCTGGATCTGAGAGAGTTTATCAATTTCTCTTTGTGAGTGTGTCACAACAGAGAGTCATGTGGAGTTTGTTGGGCTGGGACGATTTTAGCATTAGTTTTAAGTCTGTCGTTCTTGCCCCAAGAGACAATGATAACACTACTATCTCTCAATGACAAGAAAATACGTTCATAATTTCTTGAGTTCTTATAAGCTGTTACAAACACAGTGTTGGGTCAGCCCAAGCCAGCTGATTGCATTCAGCATCAATGCCCTTTTTTCTTCAAATAAGTACATTAATCATTCTTTACCACACAAATTATCTCTGTTTTTCCTGTATCCCTAAATGTTGCAGAGTAAGGTAGTTTCCAGAAACATGTGTTTTGAGAGAAGAGGGCTGGAAGGACACGAAAGCAAGATCTTTTCTGATCTTGGTGTTATGGGTTGTGTACCAAAAAAAAAAATAAATTTAATTCCAGATATCTATGGGCATTTTTCAGGAAGGCTTCTCTATGAAAAACCACCAGTGTACAGTCTAGACAGTGGCAGCAATGGCAGTACCACCAGTGTGTTCAAAATGCTCGGACTTCAGTGTCATCTAGATTTGAGCTGAACAGATTTAGAGGATGTTTTGCTAAACATCATCTGTTTTATTAATACTCAGCTATAGACTACGAAACAGTACGAGAGAGAGATGGAACTACTGGAGAGAGTCCAGCAAAGGGCCACTAAGATGATTAAGAACTGGAGCATCTCTGCTATGAGGAAAGGCTGAGAGAGCTGGGAGTGTTCAGCCTAGCGAACAGAAAGCTCAGGGCGATCTTACCAATGTACATCAAGTATATGCAGAGGACAAATCCAGGCTCTTTTCAGTGGTGCCCAGCACAAGGGCAAGCGGCAGTGGACAGGAACTGAAACACAGGAGGTGCCATCTGAACTTCAGGATACACTTTTTCACTCTGAGAGTGACCGAGCACTGGCACAGGTTGCCCAGGGAGGTTGTGGAGGCTCCATCCCTGGAGATACTCAAAAGCTGTCTGGATATCGTCCTGGGCAGCAGGCAGGTTGGAGAAGATAACCTCCAGAGGTCCTTCCAGCCTCAACCATTCTGTGACGATGTGATACAGAGGTTTTTCAAAAAGCATATGTAGGCAAGGCTGAAGCCACCTGTTACCCATTGTCTGAGAAATGAGTGCCTATAATAAGGGAAATCAGATTTTAAAAAATGAGAAGGGTTAATGCCTCCAGTAGTTAAAGGTCAGACAAGGCTTGGAACAGCTGAGAGGACCACAAGCTCTCAAGAAGTGCTTCTGAATTTATTGCATGTAAGTTTGTGTGGGCCTGTCCATAACAAACAAGGGAAGGCTGATCCCATGTCTGTGATGTGTGTTTAAGACTCTCAGAACGTTCTCCAATTTGTGGTATACAGTTCACCCTATAATATCATCATGACCTTTTCTAGTCTTAACATTCTGGTTTATTTAACTAGTATTTATGAAAGAGATGGACTCTTCCTACATGCTGAATAATCTTCAGCTGGCTTTAAAGAGTTCATAGTGTCATTGTCTATAACGTTGAAAAGGGTAAGCAGCAACAGAAGCAAGCCTTGGAGAAACTACAGAAATGCTGCAGGTTGCTAACCAAAGGTGAGAGTTTTC